CTATTGCTGTAAGTTTTTTACCTCTCTCTAGAATAATACCTGGAGTCTGGGGGTGGTTGTTTTTCCAAAATGAAATCTCTTTCCATAGGGAAAATTCATTGTATTTGAATCTATTTTAAGGAAAAGGCACATTTTGAAGAAGTTTTTAGTATCAAAAATAGGGGGTAAAAAGCTGAAGGAATTAAATAATTGTATTACATAACTTTCAAAATGATTTTTTTTTTTTACAAAGGTTTCCTTTTTAGAATTCCATTCATAATTTTGCCAGCAATTCCACTATTGTCTCACAGAATAATGCAAGCTTTTTTCTCTGCTGATTAATTCCAATCAGCTCAAAGTTGTTCAGAAGGGAGAAAATATTTTCCTTAGTTTCGCTCATGTCCCTTTCAAACATTATTCAGATCTTCGATAAGCCTGAAAGAATTCACATGCTTCCTCCATTTTCTTCAGTCCACAAGTCCACAATCTCCATAACACTGAGCTATCAGTACCATACATTTTATTTCTATACAGCAGCCTTCATACATGATTTCACACATTTTTTTTCTATGGCAGGCAAGGAGAGATGCAACTGAAATGTGTTATTAATTCAGAGCCTGAGGAGGAGCTGTCTTTTATTGCAAAGAGAGACACCAAAACCTTCTCTTGTTTTGTAACTTCTCTGCACGTCAGTATCAGTTTTAGCATGGCCCACCATATGATACAACTTCTTCACAAGACAGATGCCTGCTTCATTCTGCTTTCCTCAGTGAATGTCTAGTGTCGTTTATTTGGCTTTATTTTCTGTTGAACAGAAGACATGGGTCCTGCTGAGCTCTGGAGACTTTCTTACTTATCCACGTAACATCTTTTGTTACTCAGCTTCATTTACTGGAGTCTGTAACGTGTATCCTCCTTTACCAATCAAGTGAATGGATGAAGCTCTCCCACATCGCTTATTCCCTCGCAAAGGGAATGGAGGAGATAAGGAGATATTTTCCTCAGTGCAGGCAGCATAGAAACACCTGCTAGGAGAAACACCTGCCACCACTGAAATCAATGGAAATCTTGGCATTTACCTCGGTGGATGTGGTGTGGACTTCACTGGGGTTTGGTCCAAAAGTTAACTGTCATCCTGAGCCATTGAGCTGATTAATTCCTGTGGCTCAATGCCAGTAACGGATAGATTCCCCTTTGTAACTGATCCAATGAGCAAACTCTACATGTTACTCATAAACACATTCCCTGGTCCTCACAGAGATGCTGTCCCTCTTGTACTGGACAGGAAGCCAGCAGCCATTTACTATGTGTATCTGGAGATAAGGCCAGAATTTAGCCCTAAGCTGCCTTTGCAGGCCATACTGCTGACTCCCTTATGCCACTTCACTCTGCTGTCCTAATTTCCATGCATGCTTTTAGATATTCAGTGCTCACTGATACACAAACTGCTTAATCTTCCTCCAATTTAGCTTTCAGTATCATCAGTCTCCCACCTCTGTGCAGATCACTCATTTCAATTTCCCAGTGTGCTTTTAGTAATCAGGTATACATTCGTTTCATCTACTGCTTACCAAAACATTAATGCATCTGTCTCTCAATCTCTACAAGAGATGTCTCGGGGGGACATTTCAACTTACATAATTGGTGAGAGTAAGGTTTGTTTAAAGGTACTGAAATGGAAAAATCAGCAACACAAGACTTCTAATATTGTGCTTGCTAAGTGCCTGACAGGTTCCAGTTCATACTGACAATATAGCTCAGTTTTAAACTCAGCCTAATAGAGCTTGCTGTTACACATGAGCTCCTGCTACGAAATTGTTGGGAAGAGTCTTACTCAGATTCTTTTTCCCTTAGCGTGCACTGTGATTCACTGCAAGCGACATGGCCGTTATTCACCTGTACTAGCATGAAATTTGTACTGTTACCTATGCCAGAATCATGGCAGGCAGGAGAAGAATCATGATCTGCAGAAGGAGGGCATTTATTTGCTCCTTTTTTAAAGGTCTTGCATTGAATTTCCAAGTTAAATTGCAGCTGGAAGCAAAGGGGAATTCTTCACGAGGAGAAGTGTGGGAAGGATGGTGCTAACCGACAAAGCAGATTATGCTTCTACTACAGCTTCTTATGACTGAAGTGTAGCAGAGCTTATGTTGGCTTAACTGCCCCCCCCAAGGAATTGCCACAGAAAATACTGAAGTTGTTTAACATAGATGTGAGAAATAATACAATAGGTAACAATTTTAAGTATATGCTGATTAGGGAAAGAAAGTGAGATGTATTAGTTTTTAGCACAAAATGTCAGAAAACAACAAAAAATTCCCAGCCTATAAACTGAAAAAATCAAGGCATGGTTTTGGTGTCAATCTTCCACTACTGCCCAGCTAAAAATTAATTCTATTACTTATCATGGGTCTTCTCCATTCATCATATATATGCTAACAATGCTCAGTGCACCCTACTTATCTCTGCCATGTAACATGGTCCTTCTACATGTCTTTTTCTAAGTGCTTGAAAATATCTCGGTGTGTATTTGCTGCAAAGTCTCAGTAGGCAGGGATTTTGGGGAACTTTAAGGTTCAAGCCTTGTTTTTAGCACAGCCATGAATTTAAATAGTTGTCTTTCCACAGACATTATTTTGTCACTGTCTTTCACAGACATTTCTTTCAGGTATATGGGCATAGTTAGCAAAGGACGCAAAACTCCTACACATGCTTATCTGCAAGTAACACCCATACAAATCCTAGTAATATCAAATTGATGTGGCTAAATACAGAGGAAACTGTTGTTATTGTGAGAGCATATTTACACCAGATGATAATGAAAGTACAGTTCTGCTAACATTGGTTTCCAAACCACTTTCTTTATTACAGATATTACTTTTCTCAGAAGGTAAACTGAAGCAATTTGTAAAATAGTGAGTTTTTAATCATATTCTGAGTGCAGCTCTCACTCTCAACACACTCTTCAGTGTGGCTTGACACTCATTTGGGTACTGCAAGCCTGTACTTATCTTTTGAGTTACAAGCAGCAGAAGCAAAATGAAACAATCAAAGTTTAAATTGAACTGACTGCTTGAAAGACCCTGTTTATGAAGAAAGAACATATTTGTACTGTGTTAATATTCTCATGTAGGTCAGAGACATCTAAAACATAGTGTAAACTTGCTTGGTTTAGGCAGTTCTTTAGACTCTAATAGAATTTCTCCTCTGAAGTTATGGAAGAGAGAAGGCTGGCATCCTCCTCAGGCAGCTGTAGTGAGACAGAAGGCAAAGTCCTTCTACTTTCCTTCTGGAATGAGCTGTTCTTTCTCTAATGCCTCTTTAAATAAGAAACTTGCTTATAGAAACATAATGATAGCGGAAACTCCTTGGCTGCACTTAAATCAACAATCCTCATGCCAGTTGCCTGTTAGCAATATAGATATACTTTGTCTTTTGCTGATAAGCACACTGAAATCTGTCAGGATATATTCTGTTACCTCTTTTTAATTAAAGATAAAAATCCAGCACTTTGCGCTACTGAAACTGAGCCTGATTACCTATCTTGAGAAGCTGAGCTATTGCTGCACTGAGGACTAGGAAACGTTGTTTATCAAACTGAGCAGAACTGGAATTGGAACAGAATTTCTGGGCATTGTTTGAACAATAGCTCCTTTCCCTTCAATTCTCAGGACAAAGTAAATATCATAGATTGCTGGTAAACATTTTTCCCCTACTGATTTTATTCATGCCTTAAAGGTCTTGTTAGCTTGTTTCTTGCAGAATAGATGCCTAAAGCTGTGAGAACCTTTCAGGGTAAATCGTTACATAGATCACAACTACAACTATGGGCTCTTATGGTCTTGTTTCCAAAACTCATCATAAGAAAATTACTAGCTGGCTGCTATTTTCTATCTCTTTTCACAGCATCTTTAGTTGTCTTCACACTAAATGCTTACAAATACCTGAATAAGAAAAAAAGGAAATTGTTTCTGCAATTTAAAAGTTACTAAGAATATATTGTAGAGAAGGGTCTTCACAAGTTTACATTTTAGACTCTGATAAGTTTTTACTCACGCAATTTTTCAGAATGAACTTTTTAGCCATTAAAACCTGACATCAGGCTCTAAAATAGAGCTGTGCTGCAAAAGCACTGTGCAAGTTTCTAGTCAGATTTTTTCAATTTAAAGAAAACAAAACCAATAGTGATTCATAAAATGATACTAATCCAGACAGAACTACATTCAACATGAAAGACCAAATGTCTAGCCATGTGACATACAATCTCATCACTGAACAAGCTCCTCAAAAAGTACCTTCTTCATTCCGATTTATCTATCCATGAAATGGTATGCACAAGAAACCCACAGAGAAATGTTTTATGCAGCCTTAATAATTCTCACTTGGAAGAATATTCCTTATTATTTGAAAATTAAAAATCAAAATGAAAGCAAAAGATTACTTCTGTGCTGCAAGCAAATATTTTGCAAAGTTCAGTTGCCAAGTTCATTTGCTATAGTCTGTTTCCAATTCTTGCACATGCAAATGTGTGTCAAGTAAGCCCTTCTATATCCATAGTCCTACATCTAGCATAATTTAGGTTGAAATTTTAAAACATCTCTGCAATTTTCTAGACAATATTTTGAATTTGCAAGTGATTTATGTTCACAAGAAAGAAACATTTCAATGGATTCACAGCCCCTCAGAAAATTTTCTGAGGGATTATTCTAAGGATTTATTTCTAAGAATATTTCTAGGGATTATTCTAAGAGTTTCTGCAGAGAAGAGCTTGAGTTCAGCATGTTATGACCTACTATAATACCATTTTCAATATAAAATAATAGTGACTTTTTTTTTTTTAAATAAGCTTTACAGCATCTTTCTGATATAAATTCTGTGATCACAATGGTGAGAATATCCCGAAGGAAAAAGCCTGTATTCCAGAACTATCCAGTGCTTGAACCACTGGCAGTTTAGACTTTGACTCAAGTATGAAAATGACACTTCTCCACACTGTAGAAGTACTCTATAGAGCAAGTATAGATGGGTATCTCAGAAAGTCAAGGCATGGCACCACATGATCCATGAAGTGGTGTCATTGACGCTGTGATAGATCAGTCAACTCAACTAAACTGGAAGCTGGTTCAGTTATAGCTGCACCACACCCCTATCAGCCATATAGATGTACTAGCTCTTATGTTTCCTGAACTGACTGGGAATTAAAACATGGTTTTGACATGTAAATGCTGACCACATTGGCTCATGCTGTCTAGATCTTACACATTTCCTTTTCTCCAGACCTTAAATTATGACTAAATTAACACTACCTGTTCCCCCAATAAAGCTTAGGCTCATTTTAAAATAAAATCAGCCAGAAGAAGTTCTTAGAAAAATCATAAATTTAAACCCTTCCTCAGCAATGTGTCTAACATGGCACACATACTTTACAGCTATCTATGTCCATCTTGTCTAACATGACATATGCTGTCAAAGAATGACAACTAGTTCTGCACTTGAATTTAGTTATGTAAATAAGATTAAATCACTGATTTAAAAAAGGTTTAATATTATTCCGATGTGACCAAACCCAGAATTTTGCTTTGAGTCTTTTTTTTTTTTTAGACATCTGGAATCCAGGGAATAATTATCTTAATGAAGTTGTATGAAGAGTTGTTGTCTATTTGGTATTTGTATATTTAGGACTTTCAAAAATGTGTCCATTTCATTAGCAGATGCTTCCACTACCTTTTCCTATTGTGATACAAAACATCTTTTTTTTCCTCTGAGTGCCTTTTAAAATGCAAATAAAATCATCTAGGATTGAATAAAGATGAAATTTACATCTTGTCAACTTCTATGGTGACAAGCAAGAATAAAGAGAGAGGCTCAGGGAAAAAGAAAGAAAATAAAATGCACCTTGGTGAAGAATCTCATTGATGATTGTTGTCAGCTTCAGGATGGTGCCATGACCTTTCCTTCAGGAAAGCAGAGCTTCATCTATTATGGGTCATGCTGGAAGGCCCAATCAAAGATTGTTTTCTCTGTTTCTCGTGGAGAGGAAGGAACTAGCAAATAGGTATTGTGCAGGGCTTCCTGTAAAATCAACTTCCACCTCTGTGTCCAGTGTATTTACCACCACTGCCAGCAGTGTGAATGGGAGAATGCTGAAAATCACAGGCACAGGTATTAATTTTTCAAATAACCTTTCAATACAAACAATTTAATTCAAGAAAATCCACGTAACTATAATCAGTCTCAAAATACATTAACATCATTTCAGTAGCTTGATTTGAAATTGTCACAGCATTCTAAGACAACATTGAGGCATGTGGAATAGTAAAATGAATGATAGTCTGGTTTTGGACATGGGTGATGCTGGTTACAACACGTTAACTTTTACTTTGTCTAGCATGATATGACTGCACGGAAAAGCAAAGATGTCCTAATATGTTGTGTTATCTTCTTTGTAGAGACAGGGCTGTTAAGCTAAATCTTTCTGGAATCAATAAAGAGGATTCATTTTGCTTTAATTAGACTGATCTGGAGTTTTAAAGGACAAATCCAAACACATTTTAAAGCCTAAAAAAGGAAAGTTTGAACTGGTCAGAGAAACGACAGGTTAACTTTCCCATGAAGGTTTTTCCTACCTTTCCATGCTGAGTTTAATAACCCAAGTCAAGTGGCTTTACTTCAATTATGCAGTGAAAGCAGAAAACTCAATATCTGGCTAGTCCCAGAGTTTCCTTCCCCAAACAGTGGCTCTGCTGAATCAAAAAATTACAGTTTCTGGTGTTAATGAAGTATAAATCCATACAGTAGCTGGCAATTTTGGGGGCAGTAACTTGTACATTTCATGATGGAGGAACAGCAGTGAAACAATGTACAGGATTACCCCTTCATCCTTTCTCCTTTGTTCTTGGAAATCACTTCCTGAAGGCCACATCTGCTTGGAGTTCTATCAGATTGCATTTTATACTTGCATGAAACAAAGCTATTAGCAAGATGTGTTGGATGAGGCCTTGAGTGATATGGTTTAGTGTGAGGTGTCACTGCCCATGGCAGGGGGTTTGGAACTTGTGATCTTAAGGTCCTTTCCAACCCTAACTATCCTATGATTCTATGTGTTGCATTGACCAGATAAGACAGCCATATCTGCCTTCATCAAGCTTTCTTAAAACAAACACAAAGAACACCGATCTTACCAATGGTGTTTGGCCATGAGGCCTTTATTTTCAACCAATCTGTGAAATAAAACATCTATTTAGTTTCACTCATAATCACTAATTATGTTTATTTCTAATTAACTTTTCCTTTACAGATGGCTTGTGAAGAAGAACTGAAAATCAAAATATATTTCCAAGTCTTATTTTTCATTAATGTGCCTTTAACTAACTCTTTCTCCCATCTGCAACTCAAGTAAGCATGTTTGCCGTGTCATTTGATTTGGAATATTTACTTTCAATCTCAAGTAAATCTCAATGTAACATGTAACACCATAGATACCGGGCATGTCATATTCCCTAGCATAACTCATGTCAAGTCTGAAAAGTAAAGGAAATTCCTACATTTACTATCAGGAGCTGACACAAAAAGAGGCTCAAGACTTACTTTAACAAAAGATCTGCGATGAGACATTTGGAGTTCCTTGTTCCTAGGGGAAAATCAGGACCCAAAGGCAGTGGTTTCTCAGGCTTCCTATATCAAAGATAAGGACTTCTGTGGGTTTTAGGCACTTCTACGATTAGATGTTTCACTGTAGACAGAGGAAATGTAGGTAAGGAAATCCAGTTTCAGACTTAAGAAACTAAAGCCCACGTAAATTCCAACTCAGCAGCAAAATCCTTTATGTCATTGTCCTGGGTTCAGCAGTAGCAGTCATGTTTTTCCTTTGTGTTAACTGGTGCAGTGCTGTGTTTTGACTTCCAGCTTGAGAACAGTGTTGGTGAAGCCGATGTTTTTGGTTGTTGCTAAGTGATGTTTACCCTGACCAAGGACTCTGTGAGGCTCATGCTCTGCCAGGGAGGAGGGGAAGCTGTGAGGAAGCAGAGACGGGGCGCCTGACCCGGCCTACCCGGGGAGGTATTCCATACCACAGCACGTCATGCCCGGGGTGAGGGGTAACTGGGAGTTACCCGGAAGGACAGGGGCTTCCGGGTGGAACTCGCTTTCTTGGCCGGTGGTATCGTACTCTCTTCCCTTGTTATTTTCCCTTATCATTGTTTTAGCTGATAGTAGCGGTGGCGATTTGTTGCTGGACTGTTCTTGTCTCAACCCGTAGGAGAGTTACACTCTCTGGATCCTCCTCCCTGTTCCTCTGGGAGCGGGGAAGGGGAGAGCCCCGGTGCGGGGGGGGGGGGGGGGGGGGGGGAGACGGACACGGACCTCGATTGTTGTCAGCTCGGCACCACTCACTGGGAGTGAGTGAACAAGTTACCTGGCTGGGTTTAAACCACGACAGTCATCTAGCACTGAGGTAACATCTTGTCTACTTTATGTGTCAGGGCAGAGGCTGATTGCTTGTTTGTAACAGTCCACATCATCACACTAACCGTTAGCTGTCAAATACTATGTGCTTGGGCCCTCGCAAGGCTATTAATTGCAGTTTCAGATGTAATACATATAACCTAGTACACGGTCATTAATTTGCTGTGTTGGCTGCTATGAAGTGACAAGCACAACACTATGTTTTATAATATATCTTTCTGAAAAAATTCATATAAACCTTAGATTAGTCTTCAGGGGAATACAAATGAAAAAATAAAGCAAAACAAAATGAGGTACAGCCCTATGAAATAAGTTAAATTCTATGATAACAAACCCTAACTTTTTTCTCGAATAGCAAACAGTGAATTTATGTGATACATCTCTGTTAAATTGCATGACAAGTAGAATTTTTTAGTATACCAAAGTAAAAAGCACTCTGGATTGGCTACCTTTCTGTTACCCTTGAAAACAGATGTTTTGGTTCCTGATGTCTAAGAAAGGCTGTCCAATTATCAGAAGCCTTCATCCAAGACAAGATGGTTAAAATCTTTCTGAATATGGTGAAATCTTCCCTGAAATGCAGACAGTCCCCTGTGGTTTTCAATCAGTCAAACTGCATATGGAAGGCCCCTCCACCTACCGCTTTAGGAATGGTGCAGAAGGAGGTCCAGCAGCCCCATGAGCTCTGGGCTTTTGAAGGCAGTTCTTTAAAGAAAGGGTTCCTCGCCATTGAGAAATATTTCCTCGGGGCTGAAGATTCTGTAAGCGAAATAAAACAAAGCAGAAATGTTCAGACTGGAATGATTTTTCCTCTGTAGTTGATAACAACACCATCTGCTCAAGGATTTTCTGCTAGCAGGCTAAAGTCATTGAATAAACTGCACACTCCAGATTGTTTGCTCATCCGCTCTATATAGCAATCTATGATTGTTGATTAATTAAAGTCCAGAGTTCCCAATGAGAAAGGTAGGTACTTTTATTCCAGGTGGGGAAACTAAGGCAGAGAGAGTTTACCTGACCTGTGAAAAGCAGCTGGAGAATTCAGTTTTAAATCTTAAATCGCCAGAGCAACATTCCACATCATTACACAGCAGCCTGAAATATTGTCATATGCTTTCTTTCTACTATTTTTCTTGAGCAGTGGGAATTTGAGGAAGGAACTCAACTAAAAGGTCCTTTCCCATAACTTCAGGAGCAGCTGCAACTGCTAGTGATAAATAATGAAAAGTATACATTGCCATCTGATATCAGACTGCTTTGCCTGGTTTGTAGTCTGAAATTTCGTAAGGCAGGGGTTTCTTTGTATGACTTCCAAGGTGGAAAATCGTATGTGGAAACACATACCAGATGAACTCAACTATTGCAGTGATCCTTCTGCCTGAAAATTAATTAAATGAGTATGCATTTGATGTTCAAACTGCATATTCCTCACACTCACAAGACATTGCTGAAACAAAGGATTAAAAGGGTTAAAGTACCAACCTGGTGCCTGTCCAGCAGAAATTCAGCTCAGAACTGAAAACTTTAACATAAGCAGAAAAACTAAATAGGCAAATAAATGAAGTTTGAAGACAATCCAGGAGACTCACATAATGAAGACAAATACACCTTCTTGCCACAGAAGAGCTAAAAAATAATTGCAGACTTCTTACTTACAGATTATTTGTATAGCAACATTTGTATTCACACTCCGTGTGTAGTTTGTGTATGTACAGCTCTGTAAACTGCATTTAGATTTCTATGGATGATTTAGCATGTATAGGACCTAAAAAACAGTAAAGGTTCTAATCACTGCACCCCTAAGCTTACACCGCAATTTGACCAAGGATGGTTGTGTGGCAATATTTCAGGAAGAAAGAGATATAATGAAGAAGCAGCTTTGAGCCTTGAGTTAAGCAGAAAAGAGATTATTCTTGGCAATGAAAAGGCCAGCCCCACAGCATGGCTGAGCTCTGCAGAGTGCCTGCAATCAGACAATGCAGAGTAGAGCACGTGACAACCTCTGTTGTGTTTGGTGGCAACCTTCCTGTCACTCTGTGACCATGAGGTGTCATCAATGGGAAAGAAGCTCAGCAGGGCCAGAAATACCAGCACAGGAAATAGAAGTGGTCTCGAATGATCTAATACATTAGCAATGAAATTAAATTAAGAGGACACATTGTGTAGAGTTAGAGATGAATGGCTTAAAGTGAGAAATGAAATATGTGTAAAGTAGAGGCAGAGTGCCAGGGCAAGACAAGATGGTGGTTAGATGAGACGGGAGCACAATAATATCTCCCTACAAACACTATTATTTGGGTCCTGACTACTCTGGATAACTTTGGATAGACTAACTTAGTGATAAACCAACAAAAAACTCAGGCATTGGGTGTGTTGGAATTGTGACTTCCAAATTCAGGATAAGCACTACCAAATTAAGAAGCAAAATGATAAAAACATACCTGGGCAAAGACATCAGAAGGGAAGAGGATTATATTGGAAGTTTGCCACAGCCCTTTGCAGCAATGTTATTTTCTCTATTGCTTCAGCTACACATAGCATATGATATTAATTGATACTAATTGATATTAATTGATTAGATTCCCTTTACATGATTCATAGGCAGTTACAGCTCTGACAAGTTAATTCTGTATTAACCATTTTTTTTTCATTTTAGCATTTTCTTCTCTAACAGAGATTAAATTATTCTCTACTTTAGCACAAAAAATAAAATGTCCTATTCATCTCACATCAAGAATATTATCACTTCTTGCATCAGCAATTTCAGCTGGCCTCTGCTGAATGAAAACTGATGCTAACAACTGGTAAAATGCCAAGTAAACCAAATGGTACTTGCTCTATTATTTTTGCACTGCAATAGCTTGTCCCCAAATGTACAATACCCTTGACAACTAAGTATGTCAGTCTAAATTCTGATCAGACTAATTCTGCTGCAGATCCAAACTGAATTACCTTATTGAGCTGAAGAACAAATTTTTCTTTTACCAAACATGTAGGCTACTGGCTTCATTCCATGGAAGATGCAAATGCTGACTGGGGAGGCTATCAGTTGTGGGAAAAGATGTGAAGAGCTAAATCACAATAGCTCCTGGTTAGTCTGAGGTGCTGGAAAGAAAATAATACTCATGAAAACAGATTTTTGTATTGAAGCAGAGGGCCCAATGGAGATATAAATTACCTAAAATATAGAAAGACCTTAGTGGATTAGTATGTTTCCTACAGCTGTAACATTTTCAGAGCCCAGAATCTTGCTGAGATTGGTGGCAGAAAACTCAAGTTCCTGTCCCAGAAATCTTGCAATCCAAGCCACTGAGAAAGAGGTGAATACGGTGAGGAAACAGATGAACAGAAATAACAATGAATGCTTCATTTCTAAGTAATAACAATACCAATATATTCTGATAAACAGATATTAGGAAGTCCTCCATGTCAGATTTACATTCATCATGAAATAAGGAGCTGATTTTTTTTAAAGAGACAGCTTTCATAGCATTGTCCCCTGTACTAAGAGCATTAAGCCCAGAAAGTCACATTTACATAAAAAACGTTTAGTTTATTCTGCAAGACAGAGATGGACCATTTAAAAATTACCACTTGGGTACCACTTGGGTGCACGCACATACACAAACACACATACTTTTTCTTCACAGAATACAACTTCATTTTTCACACCATGGGCTCCCCCCATACCACTTTATTCTTCCCTTGGTCCTGCCTCATCAATCCAGGATTTAAGTCTTTTTTTTTGTAAGTAGTCCCATTGTCTTTTTGCTTGAGAAGTGTTACAGTTTCCATGCAGTAAGATTTTTTGTGCAGCTCTGTGTTGTTACAATGCTGTTTCACTGTAAGCTGACTTACCACTGTTGAAAAACACCCCAGCTTCTTGTACATATATAATAAAGACCTTAAATGTTTTCCAGATGCCTGTCTGAAATACATTATTTCCAATTAAAAAATATCCTGCAGATTTACTGCTGAGAATAATGATGTAAAAAAAAGACACCTTTCTTAGTCTAGACAGTGGGCCAGTCTCATGCGTATGATATATCCACTCTGGTTTTTTAAGTGTGGGGCTGTTTCTAGAATGATACTAAAGACAGTAAGTTTTCCCTCAAGTGGTTTATTAATAGTGGCATCACCTTCTACTGTACTTATCTTCTAGCTGCTCACCACATTTCTGTGCCTCCATCTTCAGAGTAAAATGGTCACCTCGCCTTTGGACTAAAATACCCTGAATCATTCTACGAGATGGAGTGTACTTCTTCATTGGGTCTTTCAGGATGGCAATAACTTAATGTATCATACAGCAGAACAACCATTATCTTTGTATTGTTGTTGTCTGCTGGAGACTGCAATGTAAATCTGGACAAAGAGGGATTAACTGCCCAAAGAGGGATTAACTGTGCAAATAAATAAAAGGTAGTGATGTCAACATACTAAGAAAAAAAGGGGGGGGGGAATGTGATGAGATGCATTTTGGTTATTAATACTAGCAAATGTGCACAGAAGTAAGGAACCGGCTTGAAGAATTAGACCCTTTTCCCTGCCCTTGCTTTGTGACAGAGAAACCAAAGAGCAAAACTGGTTGACTAATGAACAGTGCCTCTGGCTTCCAATCTTGCTGTATTTATAGGTATTTTACACAATTTTTGTTTCATGCCAACACTGTATGGTGGTTCAGTTGTTCGGTTCTTTTTTTTCTCTGTTTCTTTCTCTCCTCGTACATCTGTGAAGAGCTGGTTTACCTCTTCTTGCCAGTGGTGTGTTCAGCTGCCCAAGCCTGGCTCTCTTGGGCTCCTCTTACAAAATAGTCTCCACTTCGCAAACATTTCTTGTAGTTCATCTTTGCACTTGATCCTCTGTGAGCTTACTTCCTAGCCTGTAAAATCCTGTGTCATTAGCAATATCCATGTTCTTTAACAGATAATTCACCTATTAGGCTCCTTGGAAGTCGTCCTCAGTGTCTTCAATTCACTGATACGATACTGCAAGGAAACAAACGTTCAATGCCTTCACTCCATTATCAAAACGTTATCAGAGTCCTTCTTTCTCACTCCTGGCTGAAACAAAACCTTTCAGTATTTAATTAATTGCTTTAAGTTCCCCTTAACTGAAAGTTGGAAGAATAAAATTCCATAAAATATCATGGAATAGTTAGGGTTGGAAAGGACCTTAAGATCATCTAGTTCCAACCCCCCTGCCATGGGCAGGGACACCTCACACTAAACCATGTCACCCAAGGCTCTGTCAAACCTGGCCTTGAATGCCGCCAGGGATGGAGCATTCATAACTTCCCTGAGCAACCCATTCCAGTGCTTCACCACTCTCACAGTAAAGAACTTCCTCCTTGTATCTAATCTAAACTTCCCCTGTTTAAGTTTGAACCCATTGCCCCTTGTCCTATCACTACAGTCCCTAATGAAGAGTCCCTCTCCAGCATCCCTATAGGCCCCCTTCAGATACTGGAAGGCTGCTATGAGGTCTCCACGCAGCCTTCTCTTCTCCAGGCTGAACAGCCCCAACTTTCTCAGCCTGTCTTCATACGGGAGGTGCTCCAGTCCCCTGATCATCCTCGTGGCCTCCTCTGGACTTGTTCCAACAGTTCCGTGTCCTTTTTATGTTGAGGACACCAGAACTGCACACAATTCTCCAGGTGAGGTCTCACAAGAGCAGAGTAGAGGGGCAGGATCACCTCCTTCGACCTGCTGGTCACGCTCCTTTTGATGCAGCCCAGGATACGGTTGGCTTTCTGGGCTGTGAGCGCACACTGCAGCTGGCTCATGTTCATTTTTCATTGACCAGCACCCCGAAGTCCTTCTCCACAGGGCTGCTCTGAATCTCTTCTCTGCCCAACCTGTAGCTGTGCCTGGGATTGCTCCGACCCAGGTGTAGGACCTTGCACTTGGCTTTGTTAAACTTCATAAGGTTGGCATCAGCCCACCTCACAAACGTGTCGAGGTCCCTCTGGATGGCATTCCTTCCCTCCAGTGTTATCAACCGAACCACACAGCTTGGTGTCATCGGCAAACTTGCTGAGGGCGCACTCAATCCCCCTGTCCATGTCACTGACAAAGACGTTGAACAAATCCAATGAGTAGGAGGTATAATGAATCCAACAGTATCAAGAGATGAGTAAAGAATCTTGGTGAAAATTCTGCATTCTACAAGTTTGTTACTCTTTTTGTTTAGGCAAATATTTTGCTCTTTAATAAGCAGCAAATTTAGGAGTTTCCAAAAGGAACAAAATGAATTGTTCACTAGAGCTTTGATCCTAGGTACTCTAGCTTTTACTGTCCCCATTCTACAATACCAATGTAGCATTAAGAAGCAGGCATTATTGATTACGGTGCTGGATGTATGGGGATAGCTCCTCCTACTGAAAACAGAGGAGTGTTAGGTTTGATTACAGCCTTCAGCATCAAGCCTTAAAATCTTGTGGTAAAATATAGAGTAGCTATACGTGACCCTAATGAAATTTCAAATTACCATACATTTGCAGTGTTAGGAACACAGACAATTTGGATCAGTATATGAACTTTAGTACAAAGTCTACTCTGAAGCCTTCAGAAAAGTGTCCATTGTTCATTGCAGATACAGATCTGTCCTGACCCTTCTTTGAAGCTTGAAGGCATATGAAACTTCTGAAATTTGAGAAATAAGAGACTTCAGTTAAGAATATTTAAGTTTCTTTCTTTTACAGCTGCCTGCTCAGTTGGGTGAAACTATATAATATATATATAAAATATGCATAGGCTTTTTCTTCTGCTGCTTCATATTAAGCTCATATTAAGCTCAAGCCATTTACAGAAATTCCTGGATTTCCTTCTTCCTTGAAACAAGTGTGAAATATTACAAATAAAGTCCTTGCAAGTCCTACATATAGTATTTCAGTTGCTGTCAAGAACAGGCTTAAACATCATCATCCAGGTGAGCATATTCAAGCTGCCTGGGGAATGCGAGACAGTCACAAAACTGAACAAAATAGGTTGTTTGATTTTATACATCACATGCTCAAATCAATGAAAACAAATGACCTGTTGAGAGTAACAGCCAGTTATATAATCTTTTAAAAGAATCGTAACAAAATTAAGACAAAATCTACCTTATAAACTGGTAGTTATGACAAAACTTTCATCAAAATAAGTCATCTTCGGAAGGAGGAAAACTCATCACAGAGTATTGCTGGTTTAAAGACTATCAGAATGTCTCAAATGTGAGACAAAATTAGGCAATGAAAGAAATGAGTCTTCCTACTAACAAGAAACAAATCAAAAATGTATGTAGAGGTGGATGCAACAGCTGAGTTAGCATTGTTCATAAATAGTTCCTTTATGACAACTCAGCTGTCCACTCCCAGTGGGACTCTCACCTTTGTCTTTCTCCAAACCAAAAGAGTTATAACCTTTACAGGTGCACATAGTGATAGGAGACAAGGGGGAATGGCTTTAAACTGACAAATGGGACATTTTGATGAGATATTCAGAAGAAATTCTTCCCTGTGAGGGTGCTGAGGCCCTGGCACAGGGTGCCCAGAGAAGCCGTGGCTGCCCCATCCATGGCACTGTTCAAGGCCAGGCTGGACATGGCTTGGAGCAACCTGGTCTAATAGAAGGTGTCCCTGCCTGTGGCAGGGGGGTTGGAACTAAACAAGTTTTAAGGTTCCTTCCAATCCAAAAAGTTATATGAGTTACCAAAAAAAAATGGAGGCACATTATCCTTTATCTGGCCATGTGCCACGCAGTCTTGCTAAATACCAAGCATGGTGTTCAAATCTCAGTGTATGAACACAAACAGGGATGCTGGGGAGGGACTCTTCATTAGGGACTGTAGTGACAGGACAAGGGGTAATGGGTTCAAACTTAAACAGGGGAAGTTTAGATTGGATATAAGGTGGAAATTCTTTCCTGTTAGGGTGGTGAGGCACTGGAATGGGTTGCCGAGGGAGGTTGTGAATGCTCCATCCCTGGCAGTGTTCAAGACCAGGCTGGACAAGGCCTTGGGTGACATGGTTTAGTGTGAGGTGTCCCTGCCCATGGCAGGGGGGCTGGAACTAGTTGATCTTAAGGTCCTTTCCAACCCTAACTATTCTGTGATTCTATGAAGCCAGGTTTATCATAGGGTTGCCTGGAAATTAAGAGTCCTCTGTGCTTTATCTTCTCATTACCGAGGCTCTATTGCCTGTAATCTGCTGAAGCTGTTTTTGTAAATTGGCTCCTGGGTACTGAAAACATTAATTAAAGCAGCAGGCCCAAGACTGTTGAAAAGAACATATTTCTAGATTCAGCTTGCTATTTTTCCTAGGTCTGATGGACGTTCATAAACATCAAAGACTGGAAGTCAAGAAACTGAAGATTCCATTCTTCTTCGTGTTTTCCCCAAATTTTTTTAGATAAAGAAAAGCAAACTATTCCTGTGTACAGAAATGATACACAATAGTGACACTACACTTGAGACACCTTAACACAGAGACAGCTAATATCTGTTAATGAACAG